TTTGCATAAAGCATATTTGAGTTATGAATATTCATATTAAAAAACACGTTCCATAAAAATATGGGAGTGCAGTGTCAAAGGCATTATCAAGGTGGGAAGGGTCCAAGTACTCACCAATGTGCTATAAACAAGGAAGGGAAGTGACATCAGGAGAGAGGTTTCATTTTCTCCATGGAGTGGGGAGACCAGGGAAAGGACCAAGCAGCCTCCTTAATTCCTCTCTTATATGTTTCCATTAACATCCCTAAAAGTCTTACCGCAAGTTTGACATCTTTGGGTTTAGATGTAAAATTGTATTCATTTTTTAAATAGAAAACATTAAATATTCAGATTATATCTACCTATTTTTTGTGGAGCTTTTTGTAGGGGTCACACATGGCCAACTAATGTATTTTTAAAGATGTTGAACTGTGTCTACACTAGATGCAAGGTTATTTTAAGATTGTTTCTAAAGAACACTGAGTTTTCCTAATCTGGAGAAGTAAGACAAGCAGAGAACAAGTAGTATTGACAGCAATTTTAAATCAAATATGTAGTGTATATTTATGAATAGAGATTCAAATGAGTGATTAGAAAACTCACAGGACTCCGCTGTGTCGTATCTCATCCTCAAGAAAACCCAGGAAGACCAAATTTAACATTAAAACCCCCCCCCCCGAAATTAAGAAGTAACCAATTTAAGATCTTATGTATACATCACAGTGAAAAAAATAGCTCATATACACACCTTGACTTTTATTATGTCACTTTTGAAGTTAATTTTAAATGGCAACATACATGTCACAAATCATAATATTGTGAGAAGTCCTGGAATAATTATATGTAGACACAGTTCAATATCTTCAAAAATACATTAGTTTGCCATGCAGGAGCCCTGGAAAAAGCACCACAAAAAATAGGTAGATATAATCCGAATATTTAATGTTTTCTATTTAGATGTATAATTTTACTTTTTTTAAATGAAAAAAATGTCAAATTCGCGGTATGACTTTCAGAGATGTTGTTTTTAAATATTTTTTTGCATGCAGATTTATTTTATAAAAAAATAAGACATACATGATCCAGATACAACATATTGTTTTTAGTGCTATAGTTAGAAACAAAAATACATAAATATTTTGGAAAAGGGAAGGGAGAGGTAAGAATGGATTTGAAAATTTCGTAAGGACTTTGATAATGAAAATAGCACCCCAAAGTTAGAAATAAATCGTACTAGACTTCAGATGTTATAATTTTTTATGCTGGACAAGTTTAGGGAGAAAATGATAAAAAATGACTTACTGATGTTTTTACAGAACTGGGTGATTATTTCCTGAATCCAAGGGGGATCACATTTTTAATTATTTGAATATATAAACTGTTTTTGGTGTAGAGATCAAATTGATCAGATGCATATGGAGGTTTCTTTTAAATCTATGTTAGAGATCCATTTTGAAGTAATATGTGCAAATTACATAGGACGTGAATTTGCTCAACATGTCATCTGGCTGCTCAATGGGGCGTGACCTTGATGGGGCCAGTGGCAAGAAGGGACAAACCGAGCAGTGACTGACTGACACACTCTGTGAGAGGCACCATCTCAGCTGCTTCTCCCATCCCCTGGTTGCCTCTCTCATGAGTTGTAAGGGAGGAATGCTTACTGGCCAATGTGCTCCCGCTACTGGAGCATGGGCCATGTGGTTTGAAGCCACTTTTAAGTCCTTTTCAGCAGTAAGAACCACTCAAGGAATCACATGAAGCACCTCCATTGACACCAATGGATCTCTAAAATGACTTCATTTTCTCAATTGTAGTTTAGTGTTGTTTAAATCAATGAAGAGTCCTGTGGCACCATGGAGACTAACAGACTTATTAGGGCATAAGCAGATTTATTAGGGCATAAGCTTTCATAGGTAAAACCCACTTCATCAGATGAAGTGGAAGTTACAGAGGCAGGGGTATTTATAAGAACAACAAAAAAAAGAGATTACTTGTGTTAACGAGGCTAATCAAGTTGGAGTAGATGTAGCTAGTTCACAGCAGTTGATTTGGCGATGTGAATATCTGGAGAGGGGACCTTTATAGTGTGTTAACTAGTTAATATCCTTATTCAATCCTAAATTGATTGTATTGAATTTGTAACTGAATTCTAGTTCAGCATCTCTTTGTTTTTGGGGTTTGAAATTCTTTTGTAGAAGGGTTGCTACTGTCAAATCCATTACTGAATAACCAGGTTCGTTAAAATGTTCCCCTACAGGTTTGTGTGTTACCTTTCCTGATGTCTGATTTGTGTCCATTTATCTTTTGGCTCAGAGACTAGGGATATAAGCAACTAATTGAGTCACTAATTTTATGGGGTGCCAGGCGGGAGCTGTTCCACTAGAGGAGCCAGTTTAAAAGTCAGTTCCCCTATCATCATCTCCACTGGAGGGCAGGAGAAGGGGAAAACAGTGCAAGCCACCAGGCTTTTACTACATTTAAAAAGCAGAGGTGCAGCATCTGGAACCCAGGGCAAGCTGGGACAGCTGATGCATTTAAGTCCTTTGATGGTATCATTTGGCAAGGGGGTTTGTTGCAGGGATAGGTTCGTGGATGTTTCTAGGTATGTTGTGGGGCTGCTGGTGAGTATTTGGTGAGTTTGGGGGTCTGGCCAGAAACGGATTTGAATGGACTGTCCTCTCCAGTAATGTTTGTAATGAAACTTGACTTCAGCAGTCTTCTAATCTTGGATGAAAAGTTAAGTGAGACCTTATTTTTGCATTTGCAAATTTACAACACTAGCAGAATGCTGGATAGTAAAATACTATTGCGTGCACTATACCTCGCAAACCTTCATAAAAAAATAACACTAACAAAAAAAAAAACCTGATGCTTTCCATTTTACAGTATTTTATTAATAGTGAAATTTCTAGTCGTCTTTCTCCTGAAAATGTAATTGCACAGCAAGGGACATTCATTATTTAACACTGCTATATTGATGTTTCTTAGTTGCAAAGTTGTTTTCTTGCTGATTTCTAGTGGGGATGTAAAATCACAGTTAATCAGTTAACCCGTTAAATGTTAAGTGCGATCCTGCTTCTGGCATTCCCATGCTTGGGGCTGCCAACTGCTGCTGCTGTTGGCAGTCCCAAGCATGGTGGGAAGGCCAGATTCTACTCCAGATTTTCCCCTCCCTCCATGCAGAGTGGCCAGCCCCTGCTCCTAACCTGGGCAGGGTTGTTCCCTGAGCAGGGTTATAAATATCACCCGGTAAAGTGGCTACCGGTTACTCATTCACATCCCTAATTCCTAGACATATTAAATGTTTAATTTAAAAAGGAATTATTTTAAATGTTTTATGTTGCTTAAAACTAAAGAGAATAAAGTGTTTTTAGTTTGTTTGCTCAGTATATTATGTAAAGAGTACACACCAATATTCCTTTTTTTAAATTTGGAAGTGAAGCATTATTAATAGAAGCAAAATATCATTGCATAGAATGTTGTTAGGGACTTACCTAATGTTTTATGGCTTTGTGGTTCATTAGACACAAATATATTTTTCCTCTGAAGCAATTTGTATGTTTCTTGTGATGAAGCATCCTTGTTACTGCATAAGAAACCACAGATGTGTGAAAAGTAGGCCACAGGTCAAAGGCTACATACCCCCTACCTGCACAAATTGAAAGTGACAGACACCTCTCTGCTCTGCCACTAATTTGCCTCCATGTTAAATGCCTCTGAAGTACTAATTAAAATGAAAAGTTCTTTGGACCTACCAACAGACGGATTTAGTTATTTATGGTGGCAGTGGCCACAAACAGTAATTACAGCACATCCTTGAACAAACACAAAATTTTGCATTCAAGAATAGCGCCAGGCTGACAGGGGTCATAGGGTTCAAGCCCACTGAAACAAGGGGCCAAAGAAAGGCAAAACCAGTCTTCTGTTTGTCTTAATACAAAATCTCCTTTGTCTCAGCTAACTGTTTAGGTGTCCAAGTAACTTTTTAATTCCTTTGAGACCTAATTATGCTTCCTTTAATTAATCAATGTAAAAACTTCATTAGGGAGAATGAGTACAACTGCTACATTTTAATTTTTCCGTAATACTTGTCTACTGTGGACCTGAAAAGGTGATTTTTTTTAAAAAAAGTTTGACTATCATGTCTGTATATTTTCACTGAGTGAATGGATTATAATCTTGTAAATTCTGTAGCCAAGTGCATGTCTGTGTAGCAGCCATGATTTTTTAGTGGATGCTTACTGTCTGCACAAAACTGCTTATGGGAAGCAAGGAAGATACTAATGCTCTAAGGTGGGGCTAGAGGGCATATTAATTACTGATTTCACTGGTGTTCCATGCTGGAACACAGCATCTTTTTCAGGAGGTTTTATAATATTTTGGCCGGTAAAAAGAGGGTACAGAATGCTATACTTAGATGTTTCTTAGAGCCTGAATGTAAAATTAGACTTACTAAATGTATTTTTATGGTTAACTTTTTTAAGTAGACTTGTATAGTACATCTACTTGTTACAGTAGTAAAAAAAATAATTTGACTTCCTTGCAGTAATATTTATATTTTTCATTGACGTACTGGCTGCTCTTCAAGTGTGATGCAGTTGATATTGTTGCAGAAGGGATCTAGAAAGTTATAAATAAGGTTCTTGTTCACTGTTAAATTATAGTAGGTACAGACATAACAATTTTAAACATACTTTACACACTAATTTATTCGACAACATGATATCTGTAGGTGAGCCTAAATTACACAGCCATCTGTTTTGGACTAATAATCTTCATACAGATTTCAGAATATTATTTTGAACCACAAGTTGTATTTCTAAGTATTTGTTATGTAGTTTGAATAGTAAATGTTATGTAATTATAACTAGAATTTATGTTTGGGCTAATCTTAATAAATGTATTTAGTAGCAACTTATGTTCTGTCCAATGAGAACACTTTATGTATTTTTTAATGTTTCAGAGAGCTTGGGTTGGTTTTAAACATTTGCTCAAAACCTTGATTTCACTTTATCTTTCAGGAGACAAAGTTGGAGGATTTATTAAATCATCACTAACTGTCAACCACGAAATCTCATGAGGCTTCATTGAACAAACCAAGTTTAAAATTTGTCAAGCAGCTGGGCCATTTGCTAAGTGTGACAGTGCACAGAAAAGATTAAAAGTGAACAATGACTCAACTGAAAGCACACATCACATTACTGGGAGCCTATCTGTTCATTAGTCTTCATGTTCAAGGTAAATTCATATTTCTTTAAATAACATTGTTTTTTAAATAATCTCTAATTTGAAGTGACTAAAAGTTCCAGTGGTTTTATGATGTAGGTTTTGTTCAAATAGCTGAACATACAGCACTTTTCTTTTATAATAATAAAGTTTTGTGTGGCTAATCAGTATTAGAAGATGGTTACATAAATTTAGTGACACATTTAAAAATAGAACATTTAAATCAATCTCTCTGTGTGCATGAAAAGATTTCACAAATAGTGATTGATATGTTTGCATAAAAGCTATGATTTTATTTATATTTCCTTATGCAAATGTGGTTAACTTGTATTTTCTCGATGTACTCTGGGTCTAATACCCGAGGCATGGATAGATGTTACTATGGACAAGTGATCAGTGAGACTTAAACTTATCCAAAGAAGTAATCAGAATTGTGAAAATCATGTTTTGAACTGCAATTAGTTTTGCATCGCTTACTCCCTGAACACTCTGTGCAAAAGTTCCAGGTTAGCACATACAAATGTTTTGGGAATCCAAAACAGAATCTTCCTGGTTCTTTCCTTGCAAAAAAGCTTCTTAGCTAGCCTATGGGAACATGTAAAGAACTGTGAACCAAGAGGGCTGCTTGTATTCTCAGTACTTCACAGCTCATATTGATTGGTCTGTTACTACAGCTTTGATGGCTGAAGTGTAAAAGTTGCAATTTAGGATAAAATATTTGAGTGGTAATTCATGGCCTTGGTGTAGTTGGAAAACTGTTTTTCATTTGTGCAAGCTGTGAGCCTTTTGAAATCAAGTACTATTCATGCACATCAGTAATTCCATTATATTTAGGAGAACAAGATGTGCAGTATGTGCATCCACTCACGGGCAAGGAAAAAGCTTTTCCTGGTGAGAGGAGACCTGTACAATCAGTTTCTTTGTAATCTGAGCTTTCATTCAGAAACAGAAACCTGAAAAATTCTAGGCTTTAAGTTTGCAGAGGACATCGCAAACATGAACGCTGCATACTGGAGTAGAGTTCTTTTCTAAGTCTACACAGGCAGCTCTAGTTCCTCTCTATTGATTATAACTTTGCCAAACATCTGTGTAATGAACAGAACTCTAGACAGTTTGGCTACTATTATTTAGCGTTTATGTACAAACTTGAATTACTTTGCAGTCATTAAGTGATGGGCCTTTTGTGTAACTTTAATTAGTGGTAGAAAGTCTCAGGGGATAGTCTGTAATTTTAAAAAAACAAAAAGTGGTGCTGTAGCACCTTGGAGATTTAAAATAAATAAATGTGTAGCACCATGAGCTTTCATTGGCAAGACCTTTTAAGGAAGTGAGTTTTGTCCACAAAAGTGCATGATACTACATATATATTTTTGTTAGTCTCTAAGGTGCTACAGAACTACTTGTTTGTTTAATTAGTGGTAGGAACTTTGTTCTTATCAGGGTTTAGCTGCTGTGACTGAAACCAGATCTCCTGGATTTAAAAATTTGCTCTTCTGTGAGGCAGTTCTTCTGCTTAAGAGGTTCAAAAGTGTCTTATTTGCCTAGAACAAAAGACAGAACTATGTAGCACTTTAAAGACTAACAAGATGGTTTATTAGCTGATGAGCTTTCCTGGGCCAGACCCACTTCCTTAGATCAATACATGGAAGAAAATTGGCACAACCATATATACCAAAGTGATACAATTAAAAAAAAAAGTGAACGCATGTGAAATTGACACATCAAATTTTAGAACAGAGTGGGGGTGACGGAGGAAGGTAAGTTTTTGTGAGGTAGTGACATAGGGGTGATAATAGGGGAAGCTATCTTTGTAATGGGTGAGATAATTAGAGTCTTTGTTTAAACCCATACATAAAGTGTCAAATTTAAGCATGAATGACAATTCTGAAGCTTCTCGTTGAAGTCTGGAGTTAGTCTCTTTGAAGCAATACGCATTTTTTATGGTCATTAAGTGAATGATCAGTCTGGCTGAAATGGCAGGCAACAGCTTTCTCTCTGTGAGAGAGTCTTATGTCTGTTTTGTGTGCATTGATTCTTTGGTGAAGCGTCTGAGACGTTTGCCCAATGTACCTAGCAGACGGACACTTTAGGCACATGATGGCATAAATTATATTTCTGGATGAACAGGAATATGTGTTCTTGATCTTGTAACTGGCATGGTTAGGTCCAATAATGGTGTCAACAGAGTAAATATGCGGACAAAGCTGGCACTGGGGTTTGTTGCAAGGGAAAGTTCCAGGGTTGGTATTAGTGTGATATGTCCTGTGGTTGTTGGTAAGAATCATCCTGAGGTTAGGTGGTTGTCTGTAGGAGACTATGGGTCTGTCTCCCAGAGCCTCTCGGAGTTTAGTATCCTGTTCCAGTATAGGCTGTAGTTTATTGATAATGCATTGGACGGGTTTAAGTTGAGGGCTATAGGTGATGACAAGTGGTGTTCTATTGTTGGTGTTCTATTGTTCTCCATGAAAGCTCACCACCTAATAAACCCATAAACCCATGGTCACCAACCAGTAGATCGTGAGCTACCGGTAGATCTCAGGGGCTCTAAGAGTAGCTCTTGAGCCCTCTCTGAACTGCGCACCTGTGCAGTACATTTACATTAGATTTCCTCATTTGTGGAGCAGCCACTCACTGAGCAGGGGCGGGGCAGTAGATCTTCGCCTGTTCTGAGACTTAAAAAGTGATCTTGCGTGTAAAATTGTTGGAGACCACTGGTCTAGACAGTATTTGGTCCTGCCATGAGCACAGGGGATTGGACTTGATGACCTCTTGTGGTCCCTTCCAGTCCTAGTATTCTATGAATCTATGATTCTAAGAGGAGCTGGTTTTAAAACTGGGTGTCCTCACAGACCAGCTCCCATCGGGTACCCCACAGAAGCAGCAGCGTGAAATGGCAGGGGGCTCCTCAGGAGCGAGAC